CTTTGCTAACTCTTCATCAATAACCACCAACTAAAGTTTTACGTGGTGGCTCTCTAAAAATAGGTTTACTGAGTTACACTTGAAGTCATAACAGTCATCCAGAAACTAGTTTATTAAAAAAACTGTATCTTTAGGTCTGAGTAATTCTGGTTTTAGATCTACTTGAGATAGCAGTAAGTTGTGTAGTTCTGTTTTTAGAAATGTTGCTAGAGCTTTCTGAATAGCTTGTATTGCATCTGTTTCTGTAAAGACTGCAAGGAAGTTCACTATACAAAAATGCTGGGGTGGTGAGATGACTGCTAACCTCTCTTCCCCTCCCTTGTCAAATCTCATTCCTATCTGTTTCTCTTGCAAAACCATACACTTACCATCAAGATAAGTTTGAGAACTGTCTGGATGTTTACTAGATTCAGCATATCTGTTATTTAATTGTTACAGTAGAATGAACTACCCCAAATTCTAATGTAAGACATAAACTTCAGAAAATGTACCCACTTTCAAAAGACAAAGCTGATGTCATTTCAGACTGCACAAACTTCCCTGTAAGTTGCCAATAGCCCAGTTGCTCATCTGTGGGTCATCATCTTTTAAGCACTATGTGTGACTCATAAAAGGCTTTTGAAAGGGTTTTGAAACAAAGCACTTTATGAGTGTATCAAAATTTACCTTTCTGCTAGGCTGCACACTGTAATAAAAATAATTTTTAAAAAGCAAAACCCCGATAACTTGATGTTTTTCTGTTATCACTGTTTCTTCCCCATCTCTGAATCAAATGTATTGATGTGAACTTTGCAGATTTGTATGTTTAGGTAGATGCATTATACTTATACCTCGCCTAATTGTCTTTAGCATACATTAAAAAAAAAAAAAAAGAAAAAAAGAGGAAAAAATAAAAACTTTGTCATCTTTTTGAAAACAAAAAAGTGAATGGACAAAAGAAAATGCAGTGTAAATACAGAGCATGCTCTCCTCACTGTAGCCTTGGGAGAAAATTGGACTTTACTGCACATTCTGAAAATTTGTGAGGTGAAGGAGAATTCTGAAATCCTGGTTTCCATTAAAGAACATCCTGAATATTTTTGTCTCAGAATGGAGAAAGGCTCAAATGGGTACATCTGGATTGTCTGATGGCTCTGGATCAAAACTCTTTAAACTTTACTTGGAAATTACAGGAAGGGCACCTACTGGAGCACAAATGTCTCGTGCCTGTGATGAGAAGTTTCTCTGAAGGAAATAACTACCTTTCTGCAGCAGATGTAGGTTCTGAGTTGATTTGGCAAATAACTGTAGAGTGTGTTATCATAATCTTAATGTTCCGCTGACAATTTGTAAACCATGTTTTCTTGGTTTGCATCTGAAAGAAATGGACGTACCCTCTTAGCCTGATATAAATTTAAAAAAAGCTGTTCTGGTAAAAGTGACTTGAAGAGCAGACACGAAGTTAGAAGAACACACGTTTTTGCAAGCTGGGTAAATAAATGGACAAATAAATATACTTGTATATTTGCACATGTACGAATGGAATCTGGAATTAAGAACTTTATGTAACACCATTCTGACACCATCCCTTCATTTTTATTTGTTTTTTAAGCTGTGGCTAAGAAGCCCTTGTTTTGGAAACACTATCCAAAAAAGGGTGCTATGAGAGATATAAATATTTCAAGGTATTAATGTGTAGTTATAAATGTCTGTAGATCTGTTTGGCATCAAAACTTGGTAGACCTTGGCATCACAAAAGAAATAATTTTACATCCTGTGACCAAGTACTCTGTTGAGCTCCAAAGCCCCTTGAGAGCTTTGGGGCTTGCATGCAATGAAATGTTGTTACAGCTGAAGTATTTGGATGCTGACTGGTATTTTAGAACTTTCTTTACCTGAACCCCAACTATGGCAGTGTTAGAAATCAGTGTAATACTTAGTTTATTCAAAAAGTTTTTTTTTTTAAATGTGGATTAAATGATGCAGTTTTGAGAGATGTTCAGCAGTATCTTCATTGCTGTCTTATGCTATGCATCATGCTATAAATATGTACTCTTAAATCATCAGCTCATTATCTGTGTTCCTACAAAATAAAAATAAAGTGATCCTACTCTAACATCAGTAAATCAACCATCACACCCCCTGCACCTCTGAACCCAGGTCCACACTGCAGATGGAATTAGTTTGATTCTTAATTGGCGTACATGCACTCTATTGCTCTAAAAGACAGAGTAAGTCTGTGTAAATTCCAGAGCCTTTCTGCTCAAGCATTTTAGGGTTTTTATGACCTCTTCTACCAATTAAAATAGATTTAAGAACCCTTTTCACTTAATTATATTTATTATTTTCCTGATAAGGATGCAGGAGTGGGATCTTCAATAGCACTGGACAATCACATCTTGATGTTGGTCTTCTCTTGGGTTTTTTGGGGGTTTGTGCATGAGGTTAGGTTATTTTTGGATCAAATTCCAAAGGCATTGTGATGCTGAGTACTGTAAAATCTTAAAGCTTGCTCTCCGTACTGCAGCTGAGAATCCAGTGTTTGTTAGCACATGTATCCCAGAAAAACACCTGAAGAGAGCTAAACATCTTAAAATTGGAGCTTGTATGCTGTGTTGCTTAACAATAGAATGCTGTTTTTAGCTTTCAGCATTTGAGTACCATGGGAAAATGCTGTGAATAAACATTATCAAATCTCTACTCTCTACCTGTCTTAAACAATGCTTTTATGGTGGTGCTTATCTTAATTTAAGATTTATGGTCTTGAATAATCCCCCAAAGGAAGGCACCAGAACATATAGTAGGGGGTTCATCCTCTTTGAAATAACAGGAGAAAAATGAGGTGCCAGTAACAGCTACTGGATAAAATTCACAAATGGTCCTTGGAGCAGAAATTGGAGCCCAGACCTTTTCCTTCTAAGCTTAACCTTTTCCTTCTCAGCCTTAACCACTGAGAGAGGCTACAGTTTTCATGTTTCCTTAGTCAAATAATAGATGGTTTATCTTATGCAAAGAAAGACAACACAGGAAAAGAATGTGAGAGATGTGTCTCTAATCTGGAATAGTCTGTAGTCTGTGGGGTTAAAAATTTCGTGGAGAAAATGGACAATATATGCAGTACAGGAATTTCCCTCGGGCAAAATGGGGGAACAGAACCTACATCTCTTGAGCTATTGGGTAAAGGAGGAAACTGTTACATGTTTTAAAAGAAAGAAGGTATCAGCTACAGATTTGTTGATCTTTTAGATGTTCAATTACCAGACTGAATGAATTTAAAAAAAAATAAATCAACCCTTCAAACCCCCGCCCCCCCCCATCTAGTTTCTGGATCCCTACTGTATTTGAAGTGTGTGTCAAGCTGTGCTGCCCTGTCAGTACTGAAGCTTTGACTGACATGGGCAGGCGTAGGATGTTAAAGTGAAGAGCCCAGTTCTTGCAGTGGCTGACTGGTTGTCAGCTCAGCGTCTTTTTTCAGAATGAGGATTTTGGAGCTAGATGCCTAGATTCCCTTCAAGCCCTTTCTGAGGACGGGCACACAAAATGTTTTCAGTAACAGTTCAAAGTTGTCAGTAAGAGTTGTAATGAGCATTTTCCTTAAATACAAATATTTGAAACTGAACAGATGCATTAGCCAATGTTAAGTGAAAAAGAATTACTGATAGAACAGCTTTCTGTATTAGCACGGAGTCCCTAAATATTTTTGTTTCAGAGGAAACATGATTGGAGCCTTGTATATTTAATCATCTGTATTTTAGGCTCTAATTGTGTAAACACATGCTTGCATGTTTAACTTTACATTTTATATTAATACCACATTTACCTCAAGGTTATTATAACTATGCAGACCAAACTAGCCAGGATCCTCATGGAGACATAACGCTGCTTAAATAAACCGGGTGTTCAATTTTGCCACGAGATTTTGCCACTGTTACAACTGGAACAAAGTGATAGATTTAATTCAGATTTTATGAGTTCTCTTACAGGTATCCCTGTTGTTGCTAATACTGGTTTTGGGGGTTTATTTTACTTCCTCTCAGGATGAGGATGGCCTATGTTACCCTTCAAGGAAAAGCCATGAACAGACGTTTGCCTACTTGATTGTGGATCCCTGCAAGCGACACGTGCACGCTCTGTACCACTGTTTTGGTGGAAGCTTCTTTAGCACCTAGTTGTACACCTGGCTGTTCTCCTCTCCGCACGGCTCCAGGTGGAAACGGCCAGGTTTCCTCAGGAGGAAGGAAGGATGTGCTCCCTGATGACAGGCTGCGAACGGCTGCACGCTCGGGTAGATGTTGCTGTGCGGTTCGTGACCGCGGGTTTGTGCAACTGCTCTGAATTTGACAGAAATACTTCTTGAAGTTGTTGTCCTGGCAGTTTTGTTGCCCCTCTTCCCTCACCCGTTTGAGCTAATAAAAGGTTCTTTCTCTAGATGTCTTTTCAGATCCACGGCGCAGAAATGCCGGGAGAGGCTGCAGAGCCAGGGAAATCTCTGCGGGATC